GAGGGGTGGAGGATGAGGAGCTCAGGGTGGAGGATGAGGAGCTCACGGTGGAGGATGAGGAGCTCAGGGTGGAGGATGAGGAGCTCAGGGTGGAGGATGAGGGGTGGAGGATGAGGAGCTCAGGGTGGAGGATGAGGAGCTCACGGTGGAGGATGAGGGGTGGAGGATGAGGAGCTCAGGGTGGAGGATGAGGGGTGGAGGATGAGGAGCTCAGGGTGGAGGATGAGGGGTGGAGGATGAGGAGCTCAGGGTGGAGGATGAGGAGCTCAGGGTGGAGGATGAGGAGCTCAGGGTGGAGGATGAGGGGTGGAGGATGAGGAGCTCAGGGTGGAGGATGAGGAGCTCAGGGTGGAGGATGAGGAGCTCAGGGTGGAGGATGAGGGGTGGAGGATGAGGAGCTCAGGGTGGAGGATGAGGGGTGGAGGATGAGGAGCTCAGGGTGGAGGATGAGGAGCTCAGGGTGGAGGATGAGGAGCTCAGGGTGGAGGATGAGGGGTGGAGGATGAGGAGCTCAGGGTGGAGGATGAGGGGTGGAGGATGAGGAGCTCAGGGTGGAGGATGAGGAGCTCACGGTGGAGGATGAGGGGTGGAGGATGAGGAGCTCAGGGTGGAGGATGAGGAGCTCAGGGTGGAGGATGAGGAGCTCACGGTGGAGGATGAGGGGTGGAGGATGAGGAGCTCAGGGTGGAGGATGAGGAGCTCACGGTGGAGGATGAGGGGTGGAGGATGAGGAGCTCAGGGTGGAGGATGAGGGGTGGAGGATGAGGAGCTCAGGGTGGAGGATGAGGGGTGGAGGATGAGGAGCTCAGGGTGGAGGATGAGGAGCTCACGGTGGAGGATGAGGAGCTCACGGTGGAGGATGAGGGGTGGAGGATGAGGAGCTCACGGTGGAGGATGAGGGGTGGAGGATGAGGAGCTCAGGGTGGAGGATGAGGAGCTCACGGTGGAGGATGAGGAGCTCAGGGTGGAGGATGAGGGGTGGAGGATGAGGAGCTCAGGGTGGAGGATGAGGAGCTCACGGTGGAGGATGAGGAGCTCAGGGTGGAGGATGAGGGGTGGAGGATGAGGAGCTCAGGGTGGAGGATGAGGAGCTCAGGGTGGAGGATGAGGAGCTCAGGGTGGAGGATGAGGGGTGGAGGATGAGGAGCTCAGGGTGGAGGATGAGGAGCTCACGGTGGAGGATGAGGGGTGGAGGATGAGGAGCTCAGGGTGGAGGATGAGGAGCTCAGGGTGGAGGATGAGGAGCTCAGGGTGGAGGATGAGGGGTGGAGGATGAGGAGCTCAGGGTGGAGGATGAGGAGCTCACGGTGGAGGATGAGGGGTGGAGGATGAGGAGCTCAGGGTGGAGGATGAGGAGCTCACGGTGGAGGATGAGGAGCTCAGGGTGGAGGATGAGGGGTGGAGGATGAGGAGCTCAGGGTGGAGGATGAGGAGCTCAGGGTGGAGGATGAGGAGCTCAGGGTGGAGGATGAGGAGCTCAGGGTGGAGGATGAGGAGCTCACGGTGGAGGATGAGGAGCTCAGGGTGGAGGATGAGGAGCTCACGGTGGAGGATGAGGAGCTCAGGGTGGAGGATGAGGGGTGGAGGATGAGGAGCTCAGGGTGGAGGATGAGGAGCTCACGGTGGAGGATGAGGAGCTCAGGGTGGAGGATGAGGGGTGGAGGATGAGGAGCTCAGGGTGGAGGATGAGGAGCTCAGGGTGGAGGATGAGGAGCTCACGGTGGAGGATGAGGGGTGGAGGATGAGGAGCTCAGGGTGGAGGATGAGGAGCTCACGGTGGAGGATGAGGGGTGGAGGATGAGGAGCTCAGGGTGGAGGATGAGGAGCTCAGGGTGGAGGATGAGGAGCTCACGGTGGAGGATGAGGGGTGGAGGATGAGGAGCTCAGGGTGGAGGATGAGGAGCTCAGGGTGGAGGATGAGGAGCTCACGGTGGAGGATGAGGAGCTCAGGGTGGAGGATGAGGAGCTCAGGGTGGAGGATGAGGAGCTCAGGCTGGAGGATGAGGAGGAGCTCAGGGTGGAGGATGAGGAGCTCACGGTGGAGGATGAGGGGTGGAGGATGAGGAGCTCACCGTGGAGGATGATGAGCTCAGGGTGGAGGATGAGGAGCTCAGGGTGGAGGATGAGGAGCTCAGGCTGGAGGATGAGGAGGAGCTCAGGGTGGAGGATGAGGAGCTCACGGTGGAGGATGAGGGGTGGAGGATGAGGAGCTCACCGTGGAGGATGAGGAGCTCAGGGTGGAGGATGAGGAGGAGCTCAGGGTGGAGGATGAGGAGCTCAGGGTGGAGGAGCTGAGGAGCTCAGGGTGGAGGATGAGGAGCTCAGGGTGGAGGATGAGGAGCTCAGGGTGGAGGAGCTGAGGAGCTCAGGGTGGAGGATGAGGGGTGGAGGATGAGGAGCTCACGGTGGAGGATGAGGGGTGGAGGATGAGGAGCTCACCGTGGAGGATGATGAGCTCAGGGTGGAGGATGAGGGGTGGAGGATGAGGAGCTCACGGTGGAGGATGAGGGGTGGAGGATGAGGAGCTCAGGGTGGAGGATGAGGGGTGGAGGATGAGGAGCTCACGGTGGAGGATGAGGGGTGGAGGATGAGGAGCTCACCGTGGAGGATGATGAGCTCAGGGTGGAGGATGAGGAGCTCAGGGTGGAGGATGAGGAGCTCAGGCTGGAGGATGAGGAGGAGCTCAGGGTGGAGGATGAGGAGCTCACGGTGGAGGATGAGGGGTGGAGGATGAGGAGCTCACCGTGGAGGATGAGGAGCTCAGGGTGGAGGATGAGGAGGAGCTCAGGGTGGAGGATGAGGAGCTCAGGGTGGAGGAGCTGAGGAGCTCAGGGTGGAGGATGAGGAGCTCAGGGTGGAGGAGCTGAGGAGCTGAACTGGGCAATGACCTCCCAATGTGATCACACCTCAGTCCAGTAGAAGGCGGTAATGCACAATGATTGCAAGCTGCCAAATAAAATCTACCGAAGAAGAAAAATTTTTTTTAAAAATTTTTTTTATTATTCTTCAACAACACAAAAAAACAAGGTACATTAACAAATCTCTGAAAATAACCTCAATTGTTCAGCCTTAGGTTGAGCAACGCTAGTACAGAGAAAAAAACAGACTAGAACAAACAAATAATTAAATAAAAAGCAATACAAAAATAAGAAAAAATAAAATAAAAAGAATGAAAAGGGACTTTTAAATTAATTTAAACATATCCAAAAAAGAAATCAATTTAAGGGCTTTCTGATTTTTAACTAATTTTAAAGATTTGCACAAGAGTTCAACCTCATTCATCCAGTGATTAAAGTTGATTTAAACCATCTGCATTTGTGTATGAAAAACTTTCCAAAACATAACAAGAAATTAATAACAAAATCACAATCTTTGTTATCCAGACAAACACCAAAGCTAATCAGCGTCCCGTGAGAGGGAGTTCGACAGCACCGCTCTCCAAAGGGGTCGCCGTGTCACAATCAGGAACACATGCTCTAAATTATCAATGTTTGTTCACAAAAAACACAATTATTCACCTCAAAATTACATTTCAATCTTAAAAATTCATTAGTAGGGTAAATCTCGTTTAAAATTTAGAAGTTCACCTCCTTAGCTTTAGGAGGAAGGGGAAAAGGCAAATCATTTTTCCAAATTATTTTTATTTCAACCGCATCAAAATCTTCAAGTGTAGTGCCGTCCAATTGGGTTTGGGTAATTAGCCTGTAAAAAAAATTTCTAATAACTTTATTTGTACATTTTTTATCACAAAAATCATAACCTTAAGGAGAGCTGTCCCAGTTCTGGGGAGATTTGAGAGTACAACATGTCTTCTTTAACCATTAGTCTTAAAGGAATTGGTATGGCTCTAATCATTCTATTATAATGTCAACGACACTGTTCTTGGAATTTCTCCCAAAACTCTCTATACAGTAACAGATTTCCATTATCATCCAAGAAATGGGCAATCGCCCAAATCCCTTTAGATTCCCATTCCTCAAATACAGATTTTCTGCCTAACTTTATAGATCTACTATTCCAGTGTTGTGAGGCGTGAGTGATGTTTGAACAACAGTTTCCAATAGAGCAGCTCTTGCTGATGAAAGGCTGAAAGTTTAACTGGTAACGAGTTACTCAACAAGTGTATTCCCCCAGTTTGTTAAAGATCGCACTGGGGACAATAAACCAAAAGGCTATTTTGAATGAAGGATTTTAACCATTTCAATTTCAAAACACCATTCATAATGTCAAAATCGATCGCATTCACCCCATCATCTTCATATTTTTTAATCATGTCATCCTTTCTTATGTAGCCTACTGACATTTATTTCTCCAAATAAATTTAAAATTCACCTTATTTATTAATTTAATCATTCGCGTGGATATGGGCAAGGAGAAGGCTGGATAGAGGAGTCTGGACAAACTATCCATTTTAGATTAAAGAACCCTTCCAAATACTGCAGCATCTATTCAATGTGGACTTACATTTATCTATGTTATTCAACACATTTTTATTCTCCATAACATCTTTATCTTTAGAAATAATAATCCCCAAATATTTAGAAGAAGAAAACTTTATTACACTCTATTTTTCTTGCATGTCATGCGGGACTCCGTCCTTACTATTAGAAGATTGAAACGAATGACAATTGTGTGCTATTCTGCAACGATATGTGGGAAAACCATACTTGTCAAGTTTTCTTTTTAAAATAAATATTCAATTTTTTATGGAGGATAAATAGGCTAAAAAAAACAGACATTTGTAAATTGTGTGTAAATACAGGATACAAGCTGTAAACGTTTTGATTTGTGTAGTTTGTAAGACTGTTTATATGCACTTAAAGGTCAGAAGTCACGGATCTTCATCGGAGAGAGATGCTTTTGTCAAAGCATCTGATGTTTGGATTAAGGTGAGTGTTTGTGTGTTTTATAACATGATAACAATGAGAAAAAGTTTAAAATAAAATATACCTTTTGTCCTTTTTTAACCATAGCTGTCAATCATTCGGCAGCTGTTGTTCCGCGCATGCGCAGTGTGGCCAGACTCCGCCGATCCGCAGCTGTAGTAGAGTTACTCCTGGCTCCTGTCACGCAGATCAGAGTAAATCTGTCCAGATCTGAGCTCATATAACCGCTTTCAGCAGGTATGTGTCTCCAGCATTAGTGATTACACGCACTTTTAGGAGATGTATTTGTGTTTTAGCTCGAATGCTGTAGAGTTTGACTCTGAATCTTCAGTTTGACGTTCAGCAGAATCACTTTACTGTATACACGAGTGCATATTAATAATTTCAGGACACTTGGAGCTGTCAGGACATTTAAAGAGAAACATGAACCTGTTTTATCGTGTTTTACTCGAAGAATCACCTTGGAGGCCTCAAGCTAACGGCTAACGTTACATGTCAATAAACAACAAAAGATAAGCTTAAACATGATAAAACATGATTAAACAAAATACAGTGGCAATTGATCATTATTAATGAGGCAGTAGGCCTAATAGTTGTTATTTATTTTCTGTCTTTTGTGTTGTTGTTTTTGTTTTAGTTGTTTTCGAGCTCTCGTAGAAAGTAGTAGAAATTACACAGAAACAGATAATGATGGTGAAAATTAAACAATTCTGTGTAACTGTAAAGTTAATGTTTGCGATAATTATGTGACCTTCAGATCTTAATTTGTCATATGCGTGTGAATGTTTTGCAGGTTATATATAAACAGTTACTACGTGAAAAGCGTTAATTTGCCTTAATAATCATTGAAATTCGCGTGTGAAGAGCAGGGCTCGTCATCTCTCTCTCTCTCTCTCTCTCTCTCTCTCTCTCTCTCTCTCTCTCTCTCTCTCTCTCTCTCTCTCTCTCTCTCTCTCTCTCTCTCTCTCTCACACACACACACACACACACACACACACACACACACACACACACACGTGAGAGTCTGTAACTGATGTTAATGATAGACCACCTGACCTAGTGTGTGGTGATGTCATTACAGGAAGCACAAAATATAGCAAATGATGCAGGAATTGTTTTTGAAACCCACGCAGAGTCCAGATTTAAATTCAAAGTTTTATACAGATAAAAATTGGATCTTAAAAGTTTTAAGTTTGTGAGTAGTTGGGTTAAGCCCGACCTGACCTCCAATGCACCGTGTCTGGCGGAGATACTCTGTTATACAGCCGTGGCGCCCCGAGACCCGTCACACACACCCGTGCGATGCGTCACACACACCCGTCACACACCCGCACGATGCATCACACACACCCGTCAAACACACCTGTCACACACAATCGCACGATGCGCCACACACACCCGTCACACACCCGCACGATGCATCACACACACCCGTCAAACACACCTGTCACACACAATCGCACGATGCGCCACACACACCCGTCACACACACCTGGACGATGTTTCACACACCCCCGTCACACACACCCGTCACACACACCCGCACGATGCATCACACACACCCGTCACACACACCCGCACGATGCATCACATACACCCGTCACACACACCTGTCACACACACCCGCACGGTGCGTCACACACACCCGTCACACACACCCGCACGATGCGCCACACACACCCGTCACACACACCCGGACGATGTTTCACAGACACCCGTCACACACACCTGGACGATGTTTCACACACACCCCATCACACACACCTGGACGATGTTTCACACACACCCGTCACACACACCTGGACGATGTTTCACACACACCCGTCACACACACCCGGACGATGTTTCACACACACCCGTCACACACACCTGGACGATGTTTCACACACACCCGTCACACACACCCGGACGATGTTTCACAGACACCCGTCACACACACCTGGACGATGTTTCACACACACCCGTCACACACACCCGGACGATGTTTCACACACACCCGTCACACACACCTGGACGATGTTTCACACACACCCGTCACACACACCTGGACGATGTTTCACACACACCCGTCACACACACCTGTCACACACACCCGGACGATGTTTCACACACACCCGTCACACACACCTGTCACACACACCCGCACGGTGCGTCACACACACCCGTCACACACACCCGGACGATGTTTCACAGACACCCGTCACACACACCTGGACGATGTTTCACACACACCCGTCACACACACCTGGACGATGTTTCACACACACCCGTCACACACACCTGGACGATGTTTCACACACACCTGTCACACACACCCGGACGATGTTTCACACACACCCGTCACACACACCTGTCACACACACCCGCACGGTGCGTCACACACACCCGTCACACACACCCGCACGATGCGCCACACACACCCGTCACACACACCCGGACGATGTTTCACAGACACCCGTCACACACACCCGGACGATGTTTCACACACACCCGTCACACACACCTGGACGATGTTTCACACACACCCGTCACACACACCCGGACGATGTTTCACACACACCCGTCACACACACCTGGACGATGTTTCACACACACCCGTCACACACACCTGGACGATGTTTCACAGACACCCGTCACACACACCTGGACGATGTTTCACACACACCTGTCACACACACCCGGACGATGTTTCACATACACCCGTCACACACACCTGTCACACACACCCGCACGGTGCGTCACACACACCCGTCACACACACACACACACACCCGTCACACACACCCGGACGATGTTTCACAGACACCCGTCACACACACCCGGACGATGTTTCACACACACCCGTCACACACACCTGGACGATGTTTCACACACACCCGTCACACACACCTGGACGATGTTTCACACACACCCGTCACACACACCCGGACGATGTTTCACACACACCCGTCACACACACCCGGACGATGTTTCACACACACCCGTCACACACACCCGGACGATGTTTTACACACACCTAGGGATGCAGCGATTACCGGATTTCACAATTAACCGCGCATTAAAACGTCACGGTTAATTAATCGTAAAGGCTATGCTACACCGAGTGTTCTGCACGGAACGGAACTTTTGCAACTAACACAAAACGAAAATAAAGTTACACCAGCGGTGCACCAGCTTAAAGTGCCGTGCTCGTCAACCACTGAGGGACTAAGCAGCGACGCTCTATTTCCACCGAAAAAATGCCTTAAGTGCGTGTTCACAGATCGCGTCTTTTGCGCGCTCAAGTTCGTTATTTCAAATGTAGGCGCGCGGTGTCCACGCTCATAATGGAAGCGACGCACTCGTTTTTTCCAAGCGCGTCCGCGCCGCATCGAGATAAAAACATCTCAACTTTTCAGAATGCCGCAAGCGCACCGTGGGTCAAGTGACAAGAACCAACAGAGCAACGACAGACGCCTCCGGAGCTAGCGCTTTGGAAAAAGGAGAACGCGGCGTGCAACTTTCAGCTTCCAGTGCAACGTAAAAAAAACAACAACAAAAAAACAGCGGAATGTTTTGGTTACGCAAGTCTGTGGAAAACAGAATGTGACGTGCTCTCAAGAGTTTCAGTCAGTGAACATTTAACTTAATATCCTATTGCTTTCTCCTGTCTGTGTTGAGTAAATGTCAGGCTTTGTAGTTTTAATATGCCCGGTGTAAAACACTAACATAAGATCAGGGCCGTGTAGACTTCTAGGACTACCAATTAACTGCATTTCAGTTATTAATAACACTGCATGAGAGATGTTCTCAGTTTCTTGCTATAGTTTTTACTTAAACTTCAAACAAACAAACCAAAATAATGAGATTATAATACGCTAGATGATTTTCTAAAGGCACATGTAAAATTTGGATTAATAATTAAAAAAGTATTAAAATAAGTACAATAATATTGGAGTAGATAACATTTGGACTATATTTGTTTTCTTTTAAAAGAAATACATAGGCCTAGTTAATATTTAGCTTGCATTTAATTCAATAGAGCCAAATACTTGTTTATTCTTATTTTCATTGGGATTTATTATCCCTTTATAGTATTATTTATGTTTTTATGTCAAATACCAACAAGATATTGTTTTCATGTTTTCAAGTTTTCTACCTCGGGTTGAAAATAAATTTAGAACAAACTAAACACTTAATAATTTTGTGATCTATTTCAATCAAAGAGCCCTGCAGCCTTTGACTTAATTTGTTATTTTTAAAAGAAAAATGCTGGATGTTTACAAAGCACTTCTCTTTAATTCCAAAGAAAGAGATTGATTATTGTTTGTCATTTTATAATTTTGTACTGTGTTGTGGCAGCAATAAATAACACACTACCAATGTATAATATCACATGAACACTCAACACTAGATTTTAGTGTTGTGAAATTAATTGATGCATAATAATCGTGATAATCGTTAAATCGTGATTATTTCTCAGACAATAATCGTACTTACAAAATCTGTAATCGTTGCATCCCTACACACACCCGCACGATGCGTCACACACACCCGTCACACACCCGGACGATGTTTCACAGACACCTGGACGATGTTTCACACACACCCGGACAATGTGTCACACACAACCGTCACACGCACGATGCGTCACACACACCCGTCTCACAGACCCGTCACACACACCCGCACAATGCGTCACACACACCAGTCACACACACCCGGGCGATGTGTCACACACACCCGTCACACACCCGCACGATGCGTCACACACACCCGTCTCACAGACCCGTCACACACACCCGCACAATGCGTCACACACACCCTCACACACACCCAGACGATGTGTCACACACACCCTCACACACCCCCGTCACACACACTCTGCTACGATACAGAACTCCAGGAGCCGGTTGCACCCACAGGGCTTACGCCTGGTCTTAAGGTAAGAAGGTCTTAACTCAGCATTCTAAGTCTGACCTAATAGTTCAGGGAACTACACTAACCTTTTCCACTGGTGGCACTTGCGCTACTAACTTTTTCAGTTACTGGCGCAAAACATGATTTGGTCGCACAAATTATTTATAGTAAGCCGCTCTCTGAATAATAATGAACAATAATGAAACTGTACTGCATTAGGGGTGGAACGGTACACAGAAGTCACGGTTCGGGACGATTTCGGTACAATGGAGTGAAAAGCAAAACAAAAATGCAGAAGGCATTTTTATAAATGTCTCAAGCCTTGTATTTTTAAGTTGTATAAGTTTTATTAATAAAGGCATAGAACCAGTTTATTTGTAGTGCACTGACAATAGTTTTATATAATTAGTTTATTAATTAAATTAATAAAAAGACAAAATTACCTTTTGGAGGAGGAGGTTTTTTATTCACATACATATACATACACTCACCGGCCACTTTATTAGGTACACCTGTCCAACTGCTCGTTAACACTTAATTTCTAAGCAGCCAATCACATGGCGGCAACTCAGTGCATTTAGGCATGTAGACATGGTCAAGACAATCTCCTGCAGTTCAAACCGAGCATCAGTATGGGGAAGAAAGTTGATTTGAGTGACTTTGAACGTGGCATGATTGTTGGTGCCAGAAGGGCTGGTCTGAGTATTTCAGAAACTGCTAATCTACTGGGATTTTCACGCACAACCATCTCTAGGGTTTACAGAGAATGGTCCGAAAAAGAAAAAACATCCAGTGAGCGGCAGTTCTGTGGGCGGAAATGCCTTGTTGATGCCAGAGGTCAGAGGAGAATGGCCAGACTGGTTTGAGCTGATAGAAGGGCAACAGTGACTGAAATAACCACTCGTTACAACCGAGGTATGCAGCAAAGCATTTGTGAAGCCACAACACGCACAACCTTGAGGCGGATGGGCTACAACAGCAGAAGACCCCACCGGGTACCACTCATCTCCACTACAAATAGGAAAAAGAGGCTACAATTTGCAAGAGCTCACCAAAATTGAACAGTTAAAGACTGGAAAAATGTTGCCTGGTCTGATGAGTCTCGATTTCTGTTGAGACATTCAGATGTTAGAGTCAGAATTTGGCGTAAACAGAATGAGAACATGGAACCATCATGCCTTGTTACCACTGTGCAGGCTGGTGGTGGTGGTGTAATGGTGTGGGGGATGTTTTCCTGGCACACTTTAGGCCCCTTAGTGCCAATTGGGCATCGTTTAAATGCCACGGCCTACCTGAGCATTGTTTCTGACCATGTCCATCCCTTTATGGCCACCATGTACCCATCCTCTGATGGCTACTTCCACCATGTCACAAAGCTCTAATCATTTCAAATTGGTTTCTTGAACATGACAATGAGTTCACTGTACTAAAATGGCCTCCACAGTCACCAGATCTCAACCCAATAGAGCATCTTTGGGATGTGGTGGAACGGGAGATTCGCATCATGGATGTGCAGCCGACAAATCTGCGGCAACTGTGTGATGCCATCATGTCAATATGGACCAAACTCCCTGAGGAATGCTTCCAGCACCTTGTTGAATCTATGCCACGAAGAATTGAGGCAGTTCTGAAGGCAAAAGGGGGTCCAACCCGTTACTAGCATGGGGTACCTAATAAAGTGGCCGGTGAGTGTATATTCATATGCACTTAAAATGAAACCAAAAAACAAAAAAGATGATCATGTATGTGAACTGGTCCCCAAAGAAGCTATCTAAAGCTTATACTTGGGGGCCATGACAACCTTGATATATGTTTGGTAATTGTACCTGAATGAATTTAAAATTAATTTGCTATATTTCAGATCAATATATATTGTTTTCCTTAATTTTAATTAACCCTAACTTTATTCTCATCTGAATTATAAATAAATGATTTCCGTATAAAATTATTACCATTAAAAACACATTTGTTTTTCTTGTTTAATCAATGTAGAATGTGTAACTTAAAAATAAACAGATTAGTGCTCCGACTCCGAGGACAAGAAATGGAAACCAATGCGATATGATGAATCTCCAAAAGATGGAACACACATTTTTAAATGGGGTTGGATAAATATGTTTTGCTTTTAAAACGGTGTGTGTGTGTGTGTGTGGAGTTTAGAGTGTGACAAAAGCCCAATGTTGTGTTTTATTGCGAGTGTACACAAATATAAGTAAACACTTTGCAGTTTGAATCATGTCCTGTATGAACAAAATGACGGAGTATGTTTTTATGTTTCCACTGTTCGATCGCGCCCGCGCCTCTCTCACACACACACACACACACACACACACACACACACACACACACACACACACACACACAGTTCGATCGCGCCCGCGCCTCTCTCTCTCACACACACACACACACACACACAGAGTTCGATCGCGCCCGCGTCTCTCTCTCTCACACACACACAGAGTTCGATCGCGCACGCGCCTCTCTCTCACACACACACACAGAGTTCGATCGCGCCCGCGCCTCTCTCTCTCACACACACAGAGTTCGATCGCGCCCGCGCCTCTCTCTCACACACACACAGAGTTTGATCGCGCCCGCGCCTCTCTCTCACACACACACAGAGTTCGATCGCGCCCGCGCCTCTCTCTCACACACACAGAGTTCGATCGCGCCCGCGTCTCTCTCTCTCACACACACAGAGTTCGATCGCGCCCGCGCCTCTCTCTCACACACACACAGAGTTTGATCGCGCCCGCGCCTCTCTCTCACACACACACAGAGTTCGATCGCGCCCGCGCCTCTCTCACACACACAGAGTTCGATCGCGCCTGCGCCTCTCTCTCTCACACACACAGAGTTCGATCGCGCCCGCGTCTCTCTCTCTCTCACACACACACAGAGTTCGATCGCGCCCGCGCCTCTCTCTCACACACACACAGAGTTCGATCGCGCCCGCGCCTCTCTCTCACACACACAGAGTTCGATCGCGCCTGCGCCTCTCTCTCTCACACACACACAGAGTTCGATCGCGCCCGCGTCTCTCTCTCTCACACACACACACACAGAGTTCGATCGCGCCTGCGCCTCTCTCTCACACACACAGAGTTCGATCGCGCCCGCGCCTCTTTCTCTCACACACACACAGAGTTCGATCGCGCCCGCGTCTCTCTCTCTCACACACACACAGAGAGTTGATCGCGCCTGCGCCTCTCTCTCTCTCTCGTGGCGCTGAAGCGAACTTGATGTGTTGAATGCTCAGAGCACGTTATAAAAACGTATACTTAAAATAGGCTACACATTTCTGTTTTAATAAATGCTCATAGTAAATCATAGCATATTGCCTAAAACATAAGGTAGGTACAAAAATAGTCAGTGATACATTTGCGACCCATTAAAAATTAGGGTCGCAATGGCATTTCAAAAGGTCGCATATGCGACCATTTTGGTCGCAGTGTAGTTCCCTGTAGTTATGACCGTTGCACCATCCAGGCTTAAGTCCTCTTCTCGCTAAGACTAGTCAGTAGCAGGTGTAAAGTCAAAATGTAGAGCTGCCAACTCTCACGCATTGGCCGTGAGACACACGTATTTGATTGGTTTCACACGCCACACCCCCTATTTCTCACGCTGAAGTGTCAACCCGGTCGGTCAAATGCCTGAAAGATGAGTTTATCTATAGATCTACCCGTTGAGCCACTCGTGATCGACTAGTTATACCGCAAACTAGTTTAAATTTCCCGGAATCTAGAGTGAGCGTGCGAGACAGAGACGCTCCAAACCGTGTAGCACGCACGGCAGAGAGGGAAATGTTATGTTTTTATGTTAATGTTTTAATGTTTTTTTTAATGTTATGTTTTTATGCAAATAGTGCGTTTCAAAACACTGTTGGAGACATGATTAATGTCCACAAATCCACCGCATGTCAGGCCATTGGCAGTCAGTGTGTGCCTGTGCTGACTGTACAGCTCCATTAACTTAAGTATCTCAATGTCGGTGAAATTTCCTTTCCTTTTTCTTTGATCCTCCATTGATATGGCTACAAGTTAACAAAACTGCAGAAGATAGTTTACAGCGTAAGCCAGCAACGCACACTGCTAGACAACCGCTATAGTTCCGTGGCGATTCACTTGAACGCGCAACGCTAAGACCAGGCGTAGTAAAGCCTAGGCTTAAGTTTGGTTGGTGCAACCGACGTTAGGTCAACTCTAAAGACTGGTCTTAACTAAGACCTACTTAGCAGTTAGGACCAGGCTTAGTAAAGCCCTGTTGGTGCAACCGGCTCCAGGGCCGCTTCTGCACGTCCTGATACGGCTGTGAGTGGCCAGTGTGCGAAGCGTGGAGTGATGCGCTCTCGCCTCATATCAGTGCGCAGCTCAAGGCCTCCTGGTCAGGTGTTCCTCCGCGATTAGGGTCGGGGGCCGTCGTAAGTACCAGGCTTAGTAAAGCCCTGTTGGTGCAACCGGCTCCAGGGCCGCTTCTGCACGTCCTGATACGGCTGTGAGTGGCCAGTGACTTTACATCCATCTGACTTTACTGTGACTTTACATCCATCCACCCATCCATCCATCCACCCGTCGCTGTCGCCAGGAGAACGGCCCCTGAGTTTCAGCTCAGATTCAGATTCAGCATTAAAGCAGATCTACAGAGTCCTTATTCAGATCAATTCAGCTCAGTGTTCTTCTGATCGTGTCAGTGCAGTCAGACCAACAATAATACTGAATATTAATGTTTGTCATCATGTTGTGTGTGTTCAGTGTGTGTGTGTGTGTGTGTGTGTGAAGGCGCGGAGCCATGCGCAGCGGTGCGTGGAGCGCCCGGACTCTGTCCCCTGTCCTCCTGCCCCGCTGGTTCTGTGACGCCGGAGCCCGACCCGCTGGTCAGAGATCGGGCCGGTTCTTTAGCTCGGATCCCAACGCTGCTCTTCCTACGCACGCGCGTGTCATCATCTGTGGAGGCGGAGTCGTGGGAACATCAGTGGCCTATCACCTGTCCCGACTGGGCTGGAGGGAGATCGTGCTCCTGGAGCAGGGCAGGTGATCATCCACCCATCCACCCATCCATCCATCCACCCACCCACCCATCCATCCATCCATCCATCCATCCACCCACCCATCCACCCATCCATCCATCCATCCACCCACCCACCCATCCACCCATCCATCCATCCATCCATCCATCCATCCATCCATACACCCACCCACCCATCCATCCATCCATACACCCACCCACCCATCCATCCATCCATCCAGCCATACATACATCCATCCATCCACCCACCCACCCATACATCCATCCATCCATCCATCCACCCACCCATACATCCATCCACCCATCCATCCACCCATCCACCCACCCATCCATCCACCCACCCATCCATCCACCCACCCATCCATCCACCCACCCATCCATTCACCCACCCATCCACCAATCCATCCATCCATCCACCCACCCATCCATCCACACATCCATCCATCCACCCATCCACCCACCCACCCATCCATCCATCCATCCATCCATCCATCCACCCACCCACCCACCCACCCATACATCCATCCATACATCCACCCACCCACCCACCCACCCACCCATACATCCATCCATACATCCATCCACCCACCCACCCACCCATCCACCCACCCACCCATCCATCCATCCATCCATCCATACACCCACCCATCCATCCATCCATCCATCCAGCCATACATCCATCCATCCATCCATCCACCCACCCACCCATACATCCATCCATCCATCCATCCACCCACCCATACATCCATCCACCCATCCATCCACCCATCCATCCACCCATCCACCCACCCATCCATCCACCCATCCACCCACCCATCCACCCACCCACCCACCCATCCACCCATCCATCCACCCACCCATCCACCCATCCATCCACCCATCCATCCATAAATCCATCCATCCATCCACCCACACACCCATCCACCCACCCATCCATCCATCCACCCACCCACCCATACATCCATCCATACATCCATCCACCCATCCATCCATCCACCCATCCATCCACCCACCCATCCACCCATCCACCCACCCACCCACCCATCCACCCATCCACCCATCCACCCATCCATCCACCCACCCACCCATACATCCACCCATCCATCCATCCATCCATCCATCCATCCATCCACCCATCCACCCATCCATCCACCCATTCACCCATCCATCCATCCACCCATCCATCCATCCATCCACCCATCCATCCATCATCTCTGACCTTATAAGCTATAATTTATCATTAACAATGTCATTACCTGTGTGTGTGTGTGTGTGTGTGTGTCGTAGACTCGGAGCCGGTACGACGCGCTTCTGTGCAGGAATAGTCAGCGTTGCCAAACCTCTTTCTATAGAGAGTAAAATGGCAGATTATTCGAACACACTCTATGAGCGTTTGGAGAAAGAGACGGGCGTTAAAACGGGTGAGAAACACCATCACTCCATGATCCATCGCTTACCGGAGCGCCAAACACAACATTTCACATGTGCTTCGTGTTATAAAGTTATTGGCTTTGGCGTTTGTGTGTGTTTTCCAGGTTTCGTTCGGACCGGCTCTCTGTGTTTGGCTCAGAATCAGGATCGGTTCCTGTCGTTGAAGCGTCTGGCATCCAGGCTGAAGTGAGAGGCTTTCTGTGTCTCTCTGACCTCTATATGTGTTCTATATGACCTCTGTGACCTTCCTGGCATCATTTACTCTCACTTCACTGACTTTACTCTCACTTTACTCTGACTTTGCTCTGACTTTACTCTCACTTTACTCTGACTTTGCTCTGACTTTGCTCTGACTTTACTCTCACTTTGCTCTGACTTTACTCTCACTTTACTCTGACTTTACTCTCACTTTGCTCTGACTTTACTCTCACTTTACTCTGACTTTGCTCTGACTTTGCTCTGACTTTGCTCTGACTTTGCTCTGACTTTGCTCTGACTTTACTCTCACTTTGCTCTGACTTTACTCTCACTTTACTCTGACTTTACTCTCACTTTGCTCTGACTTTACTCTCACTTTACTCTGACTTTGCTCTGACTTTGCTCTGACTTTACTCTCACTTTGCTCTGACTTTACTCTCACTTTACTCTGACCTTGCTCTGACTTTACTCTCACTTTACTCTGACTTTGCTCTGACTTTACTCTCACTTTGGTCTGACTTTGCTCTGACTTTGCTCTGACTTTACTCTGACTTTGCTCTGACTTTGCTCTGACTTTACTCTTGACTTTGCTCTGACTTTGCTCTGACTTTACTCTTGACTTTACTCTGACTTTGCTCTGACTTTGCTCTGACTTTACTCTCACTTTACTCTGACTTTGCTCTGACTTTGCTCTCACTTTGCTCTGACTTTACTCTGACTTTACTCTGACTTTGCTCTGACTTTACTCTCACTTTACTCTTGACTTTACTCTCACTTTGATCTGACTTTGATCTGACTTTGCTCTGACTTTGCTCTGACTTTACTCTTGACTTTACTCTGACTTTGCTCTGACTTTACTCTTGACTTTACTCTCACTTTGCTCTGACTTTACTCTGACTTTGCTCTGACTTTACTCTGACTTTGCTCTGACTTTACTCTCACTTTACTCTGACTTTACTCTGACTTTGCTCTGACTTTACTCTGACTTTGCTCTGACTTTACTCTGACTTTACTCTTGACTTTACTCTCACTTTACTCTGACTTTACTTTGACTTTGCTCTGACTTTGCTCTGACTTTGCTCTGACTTTACTCTCACTTTACTCTGACTTTACTCTTGACTTTACTCTCACTTTACTCTGACTTTACTCTTGACTTTACTCTTGACTTTACTCTTGACTTTACTCTGACTTTACTCTTGACTTTACTCTCACTTTGCTCTGACTTTGCTCTGACTTTGCTCTGACTTTACTCTTGACTTTACTCTCACTTTGCTCTGACTTTACTCTTGACTTTACTCTGACTTTACTCTTGACTTTACTCTGACTTTGCTCTGACTTTACTCTCACTTTACTCTGACTTTACTCTCACTTTGCTCTGACTTTGCTCTGACTTTGCTCTGAATTTGCTCTGACTTTGCTCTGACTTTACTCTCACTTTACTCTCACTTTACTCTGACTTTGACTTTACTCTCACTTTACTCTCACTTTGCTCTGACTTTGCTCTGACTTTACTTTCACTTTGCTCTGACTTTGCTCTGACTTTACTCTCACTTTACTCTGACTTTGCTCTGACTTTACTCTCACTTTACTCTGACTTTGCTCTGACTTTACTCTGACTTTGCTCTGACTTTACTCTGACTTTACTCTTGACTTTACTCTCACTTTACCCTGACTTTACTCTTGACTTTACTCTGACTTTACTCTCACTTTACTCTGACTTTACTCTTGACTTTACTCTCACTTTGCTCTGACTTTACTCTTGACTTTACTCTGACTTTACTCTTGACTTTACTCTCACTTTGCTCTGACTTTACTCTCACTTTACTCTGACTTTACTCTTGACTTTACTCTGACTTTACTCTTGACTTTACTCTCACTTTGCTCTGACTTTGCTCTGACTTTGCTCTGACTTTACTCTCACTTTACTCTCACTTTACTCTGACTTTGACTTTACTCTCACTTTACTCTCACTTTGCTCTGACTTTGCTCTGACTTTACTTTCACTTTGCTCTGACTTTGCTCTGACTTTACTCTCACTTTCCTCTGACTTTGCTCTGACTTTACTCTCACTTTACTCTGACTTTGCTCTGACTTTACTCTGACTTTGCTCTGACTTTACTCTGACTTTACTCTTGACTTTACTCTCACTTTACCCTGACTTTACTCTCACTTTACTCTGACTTTGCTCTGACTTTACTCTCACTTTACTCTGACTTTACTCTGACTTTACTCTTGACTTTACTCTCACTTTACTCTGACTTTGCTCTGACTTTACTCTCACTTTACTCTGACTTTACTCTTGACTTTACTCTGACTTTACTCTGACTTTACTCTCACTTTGCTCTGACTTTACTCTGACTTTACTCTTGACTTTACTCTCACTTTACTCTGACTTTGCTCTGACTTTACTCTCACTTTACTCTGACTTTACTCTGACTTTACTCTTGACTTTGCTCTGACTTTACTCTGACTTTACTCTGACTTTACTCTTGACTTTGCTCTGACTTTGCTCTGACTTTACTCTGACTTTGCTCTGACTTTACTCTGACTTTGCTCTGACTTTACTCTCACTTTACTCTGACTTTACTCTTGACTTTACTCTCACTTTACTCTTTTTTTTTACTCTGACTTTACTCTCACTTTGCTCTGACTTTACTCTGACTTTACTCTGACTTTACTCTCACTTTACTCTGACTTTACTCTTGACTTTGCTCTGACTTTACTCTCACTTTACTCTGACTTTACTCTTGACTTTGCTCTGACTTTGCTCTGACTTTACTCTCACTTTACTCTGACTTTACTCTGACTTTGCTCTGACTTTACTCTGACTTTGCTCTGACTTTACTCTCACTTTACTCTGACTTTACTCTGACTTTGCTCTGACTTTACTCTGACTTTACTCTGACTTTACTCTGAATTTGCTCTGACTATACTCTCACTTTACTCTTTTTTTTTTACTCTGACTTTGCTCTGACTTTACTCTGACTTTACTCTCACTTTACTCTGACTTTACTCTGACTTTGCTCTGACTTTGACTTTACTCTCACTTTACTCTGACTTTGCTCTGACTTTGACTTTACTCTCACTTTACTCTGACTTTACTCTGACTTTACTCTGACTTTGCTCTGACTTTACTCTGACTTTACTCTGAATTTGCTCTGACTATACTCTCACTTTACTCTTTTTTTTTACTCTGACTTTACTCTGACTTTACTCTGACTTTACTCTGACTTTGCTCTGACTTTACTCTGACTTTACTCTGACTTTGCTCTGACTTTACTCTGACTTTGACTTTACTCTCACTTTACTCTGACTTTACTCTGACTTTGCTCTGACTTTGACTTTACTCTCACTTTACTCTGACTTTGACTTTACTCTCACTTTACTCTCACTTTACTCTCACTTTACTCTGACTTTGCTCTGACTTTGACTTTACTCTTGACTTTACTCTGACTTTACTCTCACTTTACTCTGACTTTGACTTTACTCTCACTTTACTCTCACTTTACTCTGATTTTACTCTTGACTTTATTCTCACTTTACTCTTGACTTTACTCTGAATTTACTCTCACTTTACTCTGACTTTGACTTTACTCTTGACTTTACTCTGACTTTGACTTTACTCTCACTTTACTCTCACTTTACTCTCACTTTACTCTGACTTTGACTTTACTCTTGACTTTACTCTGACTTTACTCTCACTTTACTCTGACTTTACTCTGATTTTACTCTTGACTTTATTCTCACTTTACTCTTGACTTTACTCTGAATTTACTCACTTTACTCTGACTTTGACTTTACTCTTGACTTTACTCTGAGTTGACTCTCACTTTACTCTGACTTTGCTCTCACTTTGCTCTGACTTTGCTCTGACTTTACTCTGACTTTGAATTTACTCTTGACTTTACTCTCACTTTGCTCTGACTTTGCTCTGACTTTGCTCTCACTTTACTCTCACTTTACTCTGACTTTGCTCTGACTTTACTCTTGACTTTACTCTCACTTTACTCTGACTTTGCTCTGACTTTACTCTTGACTTTATTCTCACTTTACTCTGACTTTACTCTGACTTTACTCTCACTTTACTCTGATTTTACTCTTGACTTTATTCTCACTTTACTCTGACTTTACTCTGACTTTACTCTCACTTTACTCTGACTCTGACTTTACTCTCACTTTACTCTCACTTTACTCTGACTCTGACTTTACTCTCACTTTACTCTCACTTTACTCTGACTCTGACTTTACTCTCACTTTACTCTGACTACGCTCTGACTTTACTCTGACCTTACTCTCACTTTACTCTGACCTTACTCTTCTGGAAGTCTGTTCTTCATTCTGGCAGTTCCCAATGAAATAACTGCATGAAAGTTATGGAGCAACAGTAAATGTGGCCACTCTTTAGATCAGCACAGGTTGATCTCTCTGTGTGTGTGTGTGTGTGTGTGTGTGTGTGTGTGTGTAGGGTTCTAGGCGTGAGCTGTGACGTCATCAAGCCCAGAGATGTGTCTCGGCTCCACCCACTGGTGAATATCCATGATCTGGTGGGAGCTCTTCATCTGCCCGGCGACAGCGTGGTCTCCCCGCCGGATGTTAATCACGCGCTCGCGGTGGCGGCGGCGGCTCACGGTACGACTAACGCCAAACACAGCATCGCAGTCTCACTGATCATTACCTGTCGTTTCATTGGTCTCTCGTGTGTCAGGCGTGCAGATTTACGAACACACCAGTGTGAACCAGGTCCTGGTGAAGGACGGGCACGTGACGGCGGTGGAGACGGACCGCGGATCCGTCGAGTGCGAGTACTTCGTGAACTGTGCCGGACAGGTGCGTCTCTGCACGGGCTCGACACACACACACACGCTCCAGGAGCTCGTCACACACACACCAGGAGCTCGACACACACACACACGCTCCAGGAGCTTGACACACACACACCAGGAGCTCGACACACACTTTCCAGGAGCTCGACACACACACGCTCCAGGAGCTCGACACACACACACCAGGAGCTCGACACACACACACACACGCTCCAGGAGCTCGACACACACACACACACGCTCCAGGAGCTCGACACACACACACCAGGAGCTCGACACACACTTTCCAGGAGCTCGACACACACACGCTCCAGGAGCTCGACACACACACACCAGGAGCTCGACACACACTTTCCAGGAGCTCGACACACACACGCTCCAGGAGCTCGACACACACACGCTCCAGGAGCTCGACACACACACGCTCCAGGAGCTCGACACACACACACGCTCGACACACACACGCTCCAGGAGCTCGACACACACGCTCCAGGAGCTCGACACACACACACGCTCGACACACACACGCTCCAGGAGCTCGACACACACACACGCTCGACACACACAAGCTCCAGGAGCTCGACACACACACACACGCTCCAGGATTCAGTGTCATGTAGATCTGAAAATAAATTTAAAGTTTTTATTGCTATTTTTTATTTAGACTTAATTGTTTTGTTTTTTACAGTACTATTGTATTGTTACTATATAGGCATATATCTCTTTAAAGGTACACTATGTAACTTTTTTTTGTTCAAAATTTTAAGAAAATATAAATGATGAGTCGATACATCATCAATCCTTCTCCCAAAACGTGTCTTGTCTCGCCCTGATTCATTATGGTAAGCCGTCATAAGTGTTATATTGTACATCTTAGATCTGTATCCAAATTTTCAAAAAACACTTGCAGTGTTATATATTTATTTCAATTGTGTGCTTACATTATCCTAAATGTTTCCAAGAATTTGTAAATTCAAAAAAATCGCGTGTGGCGCTGATATGTGTCTCTCATTAGCACTCGCGCCCGCTCCACAGTCAGGATCTCTCATTAGCACTCGCGCCCGCTCCACAGTCAGGATCTCTCATTAGCACTCGCGCCCGCTCCACAGTCAGGATCTCTCATTAGCACTCGCGCCCGCTCCACAGTCAGGATCTCTCATTAGCACTCGCGCCCGCTCCACAGTCAGGATCTCTCATTAGCACTCGCGCCCGCTCCACAGTCAGGATCTCTCATTAGCACTCACGCCCGCTCCACAGTCAGGATCTCTCATTAGCACTCGCGCCCGCTCCACAGTCAGGATCTCTCATTAGCACTCACGCCCGCTCCACAGTCAGGATCTCTCATTAGCACTCGCGCCCGCTCCACAGTCAGGATCTCTCATTAGCACTCGCGCCCGCTCCACAGTCA